CGAAGAACCTTATTGGATAAGGGACTGCTTCGACCACCCGAAGAATCTCAAGTTTTCAGAGATACTGCTTTGGTATCATCGAAGAGCCTTAATGGATAAGGTACTGCTTCGACCACCCGAAGAATCTCAAGTTTTGTTCGAGATACTGCTGTGGTATCATCGAAGAGCCTTAATGGATAAGGTATTGCTTCGACCACCCGAAGAATTTCAAGTTTTGTTCGAGATACTGCTTTGGTATCATCGAAGAGCCTTAATGGATAAGGTACTGCTTCGACCACCCGAAGAATCTCAAGTTTTGTTCGAGATACTGCTTTGGTATCATCGAAGAGCCTTAATGGATAAGGTACTGCTTCGACCACCCGAAGAATCTCAAGTTTTGTTCGAGATACTGCTTTGGTATCATCGAAGAGCCTTAATGGATAAGGTACTGCTTCGACCACCCGAAGAATCTCAAGTTTTGTTCGAGATACTGCTTTGGTATCATCGAAGAGCCTTAATGGATAAGGTACTGCTTCGACCACCCGAAGGATCTCAAGTTTTGTTCGAGATACTGCTTTGGTATCATCGAAGAGCCTTAATGGATAAGGTACTGCTTCGACCACCCGAAGAATCTCAAGTTGTGTTTAGAGATACTGTTTTGCTATCATCGAAGAACCTTATTGGATAAGGGACTGCTTCGACCACCTGAAGAATCTTAAGTGTTTAGAGATACTGCTTTGGTATCATCGAAGAACCTTATTGGATAAGGGACTGCTTCGACCACCCGAAGAATCTCAAGTTTTCAGAGATACTGCTTTGGTATCATCGAAGAACCTTATTGGATAAGAGGCTGCTTCGACCACCCGAAGAATCTCACGTGTTTAGAGATACTGCTTTGGTATCATCGAAGAACCTTATTGGATAAGAGGCTGCTTCGACCACCCGAAGAATCTCACGTGTTCAGAGATACTGCTTTGGTATCATCGAAGAACCTTATTGGATAAGGGACTGCTTCGACCACCCGAAGAATCTCAAGTGTTTAGAGATACTGCTTTGGTATCATCGAAGAACCTTATTGGATAAGGGACTGCTTCGACCACCCGAAGAATCTCAAGTTTTCAGAGATACTGCTTTGGTATCATCGAAGAGCCTTAATGGATAAGGTACTGCTTCGACCACCCGAAGAATCTCAAGTTTTGTTCGAGATACTGCTGTGGTATCATCGAAGAGCCTTAATGGATAAGGTATTGCTTCGACCACCCGAAGAATTTCAAGTTTTGTTCGAGATACTGCTTTGGTATCATCGAAGAGCCTTAATGGATAAGGTATTGCTTCGACCACCCGAAGAATCTCAAGTTTTGTTCGAGATACTGCTTTGGTATCATCGAAGAGCCTTAATGGATAAGGTACTGCTTCGACCACCCGAAGAATCTCAAGTTTTGTTCGAGATACTGCTTTGGTATCATCGAAGAGCCTTAATGGATAAGGTACTGCTTCGACCACCCGAAGAATCTCAAGTTTTGTTCGAGATACTGCTTTGGTATCATCGAAGAGCCTTAATGGATAAGGTACTGCTTCGACCACCCGAAGAATCTCAATTTTTGTTAGAGATACTGCTTTGGTATCATCGAAGAGCCTTAATGGATAAGGTACTGCTTTGACCACCCGAAGAATCTCAAGTTGTGTTTAGAGATACTGTTTTGCTATCATCGAAGAACCTTATTGGATAAGGGACTGCTTCGACCACCTGAAGAATCTTAAGTGTTTAGAGATACTGCTTTGGTATCATCGAAGAACCTTATTGGATAAGGGACTGCTTCGACCACCCGAAGAATCTCAAGTTTTCAGAGATACTGCTTTGGTATCATCGAAGAACCTTATTGGATAAGAGGCTGCTTCGACCACCCGAAGAATCTCACGTGTTTAGAGATACTGCTTTGGTATCATCGAAGAACCTTGTTGGATAAGAGGCTGCTTCGACCACCCGAAGAATCTCACGTGTTCAGAGATACTGCTTTGGTATCATCGAAGAACCTTATTGGATAAGGGACTGCTTCGACCACCTGAAGAATCTCAAGTGTTTAGAGATACTGCTTTGGTATCATCGAAGAACCTTATTGGATAAGGGACTGCTTCGACCACCCGAAGAATCTCAAGTTTTCAGAGATACTGCTTTGGTATCATCGAAGAACCTTATTGGATAAGAGGCTACTTCGACCACCCGAAGAATCTCACGTGTTTAGAGATACTGCTTTGGTATCATCGGAGAACCTTATTGGATAAGAGGCTGCTTCGACCACTTGAAGAATCTCACGCGTTCAGAGATACTGCTTTGGTATCATCGAAGAACCTTATTGGATAAGGGGCTGCTTCGACCACCCGAAGAATCTCAAGTTTTTAGAGATACTGCTTTGGTATCATCGAAGAACCTTATTGGATAAGGGACTGCTTCGACCACCCGAAGAATCTCAAGTTTTCAAGTTTTCAGAGATACTGCTTTAGTATCATCGAAGAATCTTATTGGATAAGGGACTGCTTCGACCACCCGAAGAATCTCAAGTTTTCAAGTTTAGAGACACCATTTTGGTATCGTGAAGGACCTTAACGAATGATGGACTGCTTCGACCACCCAAAGAGGCTCGTTTATACCACTTTGGTATCGCGAAGGACCTTAACGAATGAGGGACTGCTTCGACCACCCAAAGAGGCTCGTTTATACTACTTTGGTATCGCGAAGGACCTTAACGGATGAGGGGCTGCTTCGACCACTCAAAGAGGCTCGTTTATACCACTTTGGTATCGCGAAGGACATTAACGAATGAGGGACTCTTCGACCACCCAAAGAGGATCGGTTATACTACTCTGGTATTGCGAAGAATCTTATTGGACAAGATGTTGCTTCGACCACCCAGAGAATATCAAGTTATCTCGTTCATCTTTTGCATCATGCCATCCCGTTCGGGTATATCCTACTCTTTGCATTTTACTTGCTCGTCGGAAAATTTTTGAGGTCTTCTTTTATCTAATTGACTTCCACCCTAAAATGAACGCCATGCAGTTGTTCATTCTCCCAGGTTCAAGGCAATTAGATAGGGGCATCTGTCATACCTCAAATTTGTCCTACTTGTTTCAAAATCTTCATTAGCCCGACTTTATTTTTTTCCAATTCGCATCGCTTGTACAACGTAGCGTATTTTTTTAGCAAAAATAAGTTTTCTCGCATTTTTTAACGAATAAATTCGTGACACGTGGCATTGTTTATTTTATTTTATTTATTATTGTTTTTGTTTTATAATTTGATTTTTTTACAATAAGTAAGTATAATATAGTTTTAATATTAATTAATTGATTAGTTTAGAATATGATAGAATTGGAATTATTTAATTATAATTAGAAATTAGAATTATAATTAGGAATTGAGTTAATTAATAGATTTTAGATTAGAATTTAATTAAGAAAATAGAGTTAGTTTTTTAATTAATTAATTAGTTAGAATATAAAATAGCTTTATTAATTTAATTAGATTTATTATTCAGAAAAATTTAAAATTAAAAAAAGAAAACAGTTGAAAGAGAATGAGAGTGCGTACGGCTGAAACAATAGGAAATTAGGGTTTGGATTTAGTATAAAAGGGGGAGAACACTGTTCATCTCCCCCAATGGAAAACCCTAGCCTCCAATCCCAACTCTGAAACCCTAATAATTCCTCAGCTCAAACTCGCCGCCGGACCAACCATTCTCCTTCTCCCTCATCCGTAAAACTTTCGCCACCTTTCTTCTTCTCCTTCATTTTTGCGACACCGCTCATCCACCTTCAATCGACCATATATGCCATTAAACCATTCACATCATAATCATAACCCCAAATAAACCATCCGCGTCACAAACCCTCTCTGTTCAATGCCTTGACCTCATATTTATCAACCCCTCTTCTACCTTCTTTTCCATCTCCACTATAACCCCAACCCTCTTCTCTGATTCACCCTCCGTAAAAGTCTCTTCATCAACCTATGCGAATTACAATCCAATGACAGTGATTCCCTTCAAGACTTAAGGTTTGGAGCATCAACTTTATAGGGCTTCGGTTTGATGTGTGGTTGCTACGATATTTAACACTGTGTAATGGCCTGACTTTGATGTTGTATCAACAAAATCATCTGCAACAACATTTGCCGCGCGGCTTCACAAACACATTGATTCGGTTTCATCAACAATAACGTTAGTAACAGTAACATTGCAATTTCAGTAACTTAAATCAGACTCAGTTTCTCTTTGTTACAATAGCAAGTCAGCCACGACATCAACCTCTTCTGCAGCAACTGCAACAATACTAACAACTCTGAGTTCTTAAAGCGGCAATAACAAACGTCACACGTTGTTATGAACTCGATCTCACTCGCAGCTCCAGCACGAGCATAACTAGTTTCAGAAACATTTGTTGTAAATGCAATTGATGCTATTGGAGGAATGCCATAATTTCTGATAAGTCTCCCTATTTCGAGTCAGCGACAACTAACACAAAGCTCCAAACGACGTGGACAGTGGCGAGGTTGCTTATGGTAACACTTCGAAACCAGATAGCAGCAGAGCGCGGTTCAGTTCGAATGTTTCGACTCATCTTTGATTTAAGACTCTGAATCGCCGTGGTTAACTTTTGAACCAATTTCTTGGTGTTAATACTACTACTTTGCATGTATTAAATTCCATACATGATAAACGGATGGTTGTGTCAAGATGAGTTACTGTTGCTGCTTGTATTTTGGCCCTGTTAGTGATGCATATGCGTGAGTTGAGTTCAAAAACGATAACTGTCTATTTTAGTTTTTGCAAGATATATGAGATGTATGCTGTTCTGAATTCTCTGCCATCACATGGTCAGTTTCGAACTCGCGAAATTCGTTTTTTCTATTCTATTTGGGCTGGCTGTTGATTTTGTGCAGGTCGCGACGTTGCTGAATCTCGATATCAGATGTGTTTCCAATCACACGAGTTTGAAGCCGCAGTGAATACGTTCCATGAATCATGGTGTCAGTTACGCTCAATGCCATAGCTAATGCAACTCCGCGTCTCCGGTTTCGATTAAGCTTCCACCTTGTTCTATCTCAGTGTCTGTTAATAAGCATTTTCGCTCATGAAGCATTTCGATTATGCAATGATGATAACCTTCTGGCGTCATCACAATTTGGCTTTACAACAATAAATCAGGACAGCGGTATTCAGAAGCATCTTGGTTTTGTTCCTCAGTTATCAACATCGATACTATCAACTTCTATCCACATTGGTATTGAGACAGCAAGTCAGTCCCAGCTGCTGTTGGATATTGTTTGTTTTGTTCTTTTTTTGACAGGTTGCGACATTGCCAAGTTTCGTCACACGTCGACTACACAACCGTAACTGGATTCTCGCAACTTGCAGCTGCCGCCATTCACCGACAACTCCCACAACAACCTTCATTTATTTGTTTTGCAGTGCTATGTTTTACTGATACCCATCAGTACGTATTATGTCCCCGATTCACCGGAAAGACGAGAGCATGGGTTATGTATACGCTTAGCTTTTGTTTTTCGTTGTCAATTCTTGTTTTGGTTTCTAGTACTGTTTGTTTGTGCTTTCATTTATGTGCAGGTTGAGAGTTGATTAGCGATATTGGTTCGATTAATTTCAACATGACAACACCAGATCCATATAACTCGGTAGTTCCATAACAACAGAACAAGTGTTCAGGAGTTGTACGAGGAAAGTGCATTGTTCTCGGATTTGCTTTGGACGCATCACAGTTATGGCGTTGCTGAACTTCGATTGCGCAACAATGGTCGCGGCATCGCCGGTTTCGGTTAGTGAATGATAATGAAGGTTGTTGAAGCTTTTGAAGTCACCATTAACCAGAAGGATTCAATAATGAGAGCTGCAGAATGATTTCACCATGGACCTGCGCTTCTGACAATGATTTCGATGTCAACTTTAAACTGTTAGACGATTTCATCACCGGATCTGTGACAACGGTACCGCCATGATATTTTCGTTCCAACATCAAATAGCGACATTGCGGTAACTGCATTATTTACTTGATGATAGTATGATTGTTGTGTTGTTGCTGTGTTATCCTCTAAAACCGATATGTATGTCGTAGATTGTATGCTATAGATGTAGAATTTGTTTTTGTAGGGGTTTGTGTTGCTGTTCTATAAGGATACTATCTTACAATGATTTGATATGTATGGTTAATGGAATTTTGTTTTCGGCTATTATGTTTTGTGCAAATATCACCTTGTATAACTAGTATTTTTAATCATTAGCTGATTTTGGTTTGGGCAATTGTTATGTTACAGTGCACGAGGTCAAATATTATTTACGTCCTCAATACATTATGTTTCAGATTATAATAGTATGTTAATTGCAGGATTTAACTTGATGACTACCATTGATGTTGGTTACTATATTATGAATATGAAAGACCTGGAAGATTGAGTTTTCTTTTATGTTGTTTCGAATTCATTGGAACTTTGCGTTCCTTGTTAATGCATCAGTTGCATCACGGTCAATTTCTGTTATTATATTATTCAATCATTTTCGGCGGTACGAATTAGTTTGATTGTTCGGCTCTTCTTGCATTATATGTTGGTGTAATAATTGTGATAAATATTGCTGGGAGTAATGATTGGTACACAGGTTGCTGTTCTCATTTACACATGCTCCGGTTTTGCTTCCGCAAACTTTTATTTTCATATGCTGGGTTGTTATTGCTCATTAATGGATTTTCACTTTTAAGAAAAATAAACGTTTTCTGGAGGAACATAAATAAATTAGCAGGTTGCTGATCTAAATGAGGTCTTCAAAGGAGACTGGACAGTTGAGAGAGTATCACGACCACAAATAAACTACTCATTCAACGGTATCATGACTTTTCAACCTACAGCCCATCGGTTTCCAACAAGGTCCAACTCAAACTTGTTTGATTTTGTTTTTTTTAGGAAATAATTTTGAACTGGGTTTAATAATTTAATTTTTTTAATCAATTTCAATTAACTTAATTATTTGACTTAACTGAATAATTTTGTTAATTTATATTAATTAGCATGATTAATTAATTAATCAAATTCCAATCGCCTAACTTCATTAATCAATTTGAATTAACTTAGCTATTTGATTACACTAATTTTTTTTCAATTGAATAATTTTGATAATTAGTTTAATTTAATTTAATTTAATTTAATTTAATTGGGTCAAGGTCAACGGAATCTAAAACTCAATTTGTTTTTGTTCGTAAACACTTGCATGCATCTTAGTTCCATCCCCATTCGATAAAAGTGTACCCCACTCCCTCAAAATGTAATAATTTTTATTTATGCTTTAAACCCTTTTCAAAATTAACTCTCGATTAGTCGAGCCATTTTCTACCCTTGTAAGTCGAGTGCTTTTAAAGCCTCGCCATCAACCTTTGGTCACAGACACAACATTTTAAAGCTTAATCCTGGGCTTCCTTACAGTGATACCTATTTGATCAATTATTTCTAATTGGTCACTTAGAAGACTAGCCCACTTTGCTAGTGTACACATTAAAACTCTAATTTCAAACCTCGATTCACATCGAGTATTTTCTCTAAATCAAATTAAAATACTTAATAATTACTTAAACACAATTTCGATAAAAGATGAAAAAGAGAGAGTTCCAAGTCTTTGGTTCTCTCTCCCAATTGTTTGGGTCCGAGAAGTCTTTCTTAAGCTCGAACAATTGTCTCCTAAAAAATGATAAACGAATTCAAATCTATTTTCTTAAACACATAGATGAAAAAGAGAGAGCTCCAAGTCTTTGGTTCGCTCTCCCGATTATTTAAAGTTCGAGAAGTCTTTCTTGAGCTTTGAGTAATCGTCATCCGATTAATACACTCTAATCATATTGAATATCTATTATAATATTAGATGAGAAAAGGAGAGAGCTCCAAGTCTTTGGTTCTCTCTCCCGATTATTTGAGGTCCGAGAAGTCTTTCTTAAGCTTCGAATAATCCTCATCTGTTAAAATACCTTAATCACATCCTATCTTTCAAACACCATTCAAACAATTCCTTTTGCGATGAAAAAGAAAGTGTTCCAAGTCTTTGGTTCGCTTTCCCGATTACTTGGGTCCGAGAAGTCTTTCTTCAGCTTCAAGTAATCGTCATCCATTCAACTTATTCAAACCATACTCAATTCTATCCTTTTGCATTTGAGGTTGAAAAGAGAGAGCTCCAAGTCTTTGGTTCACTCTCCCGATTACTGGGGTCCGAGAAGTCTTTCTTAAGCTTAAGGTAATCGTCACCTCTAGCTAAACATCCAATACATCTAACCAATCTCTTTCTCGCCCCGTGCGACCACAACCCTAAAATATATTCAAATCTACCCTTTTTTCAAAACCAAAATACTTAACCAATCAAACTCTCCTCGCCCCGTGCGACTTACAATTCAAACAAGCCTTTTACCGAGAACATTGTTTAGTCCTTTCTTCCGCGCATAACAAACTCGTGCTTCAGCCTCCCCTAGCAAGCAGACAAGCCAATGTTTAGCAGTTAGAATGCGACCTAAACTCTCGTTCATTCTAAACACAAACCTTTTACCGTAGTTGGCCGAACTACGGCTGCTCTGATCTCTCATATATGTTGAGAGTACGTAGGCATAGGATTGCGATAATCCTAGCGAGCACATTTCCCCACATTTCCCCACAATTCCCCCACAATCCCTTCTTTTACCCGTAGTCCCATGAACTACGAATGCTCTGATTTTCCACTTCTTACAAGTGAAGATACGTAGGCACAAGGGCCCCAATCCTTGGCGAACACCCTATTTTTAAACCACCCATTTCCCCTTTAGCAAGTAATTCCTTAGAAGATAAACAAACATAGTTAACTTTCTCTCACGAATCGAATCAAGAGGTTCCCATTGAGTACAACGGACATGAGGGGTGCTAATACCTTCCCATCATGTAACCGACTCCCGAACCTAGAATATTGGTTGCGATGACCATGTTCTTATCCCTTTTAAGGTTTTATCGATATTTTCCTATTCCATCCTTGGAATGAATAAAGTTCGGTGGCGACTCTGTTTCGAACAGTATTTTCCGCATCCATCGCGAGGATCGTATTTTTCGAGGTACGACAACTGCTTAAGTCAAAGCACCAAGGTAGATCTTCCCTACATTCTGTTTATGCACTTATGGAATCATATAAATGCCTCCAGAGAATCTGTGAAAGAAAAAGGTCAGAAGATCAGAACATGGATTCCCTTTGGAAGGTTAATTTCAGATTTTCTGACAGAAAATGGACTGGTGACTGCTCTATATGCTGCTGGAGTCACAGATGAACTTGAATTCATTCTTGGAAAACCTTTGAATCCAAAGAGTCTTCAGAGACTAAAAATAGTAGAAGAACTCACAACAGCACCCAAGAAGCTGAATATCACTGAACTCAGTCAAAAGAGAATCCCAGTAGATGACTACCCTCTGTTCTTTGATGAAGAACCAAGGGAAATAATAGTGAGTTACATTGATGCTTGCAAGGCAGATGGAACGCCCATTCCTGCAGATATTCTGAAGAGAGCAAGGGAACCATTGCCGGTTGGAGGAGAAGAGATCCCAAGAAAAAGAAGTCAATCAGAAGCAGAAGCTGCGCCTGTTCAGAAGAAGCCCAAAGTTGCTGAGAAGCCTCAGAAGCTGATCAAGAGGAAAGCATATGAGACACTCCTTCTATTCCTGCAAAACGTATCAAGATTAAAGGTACCAAATCTTCTGTATCTTCTGTAAATAATACTGTTGTAAATGATTCAACATTTAAGTCTATCCCTAAACCACCTTCTACTCAAAAACAATCTGTTACTGCTCCACCTCATATATTTGTTCCATCCCCACAAAAATCATCTAATCCTACTTCCATCTCACCTATAAAACCTTATACTACACAATCATCTGTACCAAAACCAACAGCAACAAAACCACAAAATCAGACTCCACAACCAGAAATACCAACAAAACAATATGCACCACAACAACAACAATCAGAACAACAACCACAACAACCAGAAAAACCATCTGAACAACAAAAAGAAAAACCATCTGAACAACAACAACAACCACAAGAAAAACAATTTGTACCAGTTACTTCTGAACCTATAAAAGTTACATCTGATCAACCTACATCAGAACCACCTACATCAGAAACAGCGAACCCATCTGAAACCCATATTCCTGAGACAGAGGTTCTAAACATTACACCTCTCAAAACTGTTTTTGAAGTGTCCTCTACCTCCTACACTCCAACCTCATCATCCAATTCCTCAGAATCTGATATACACCTAGATTTTCTGGTATCCCCCTCTCACAGAAATTCTGAAGTAAACCAACCAGAACCCCCTGGTTCTTCTGAAG